AGGGCGGGATGTTGGGAGGAGGCGGACGCGAGGTGGGCGGAGGGCAAGGGGAGATGGGAGATCCCAATGGCGGAAGGGAGGGTTGGCGCGCACAGCGCGCACACAGCGCGATGTGCAGCGGGATGGCGGGAGGAGGCGGACGTGAGGTGGGGGGAAGGCAAGGGGAGATGCGAGATCCCAATGGCGGAAGGGAGGTGGGCGGAGGCTGACAGGAGGTTGTCAGAGGTGGTGAGGAGGTCACCGGAGGCCAAGGGGAGGTGGGCTCGCACTGTTAAAAAAGAAAAAAGGCGATGGGATGTCCAGCGGGATGGCGGATGTGCGGGCAGAGGAACGGAGCCCAGAGCGGAGGTGAGCGGAGGTGGAGGAGAAGTGGCGGAGGCCGAGCGGAAAGAGAGAGAGGACACGGCCAGAGGAGGCGGACAGAAGGCGGACGGAGGCTGAGGGGAGATTGGCGATCCCAATGGCGGGAGGGAGGTGGGCAGAGGCGGACAGAAGGTCGGCGCTGGCGGAGGGGAGGGGCGCACGCACCATTTTTTTCTGTTTTTGTTTTTAAAGGCGGGCATAGGTGGAGAGGAGATGGCGGGAGGCGTACGGGAGGGCAGAGGTGGAGAGGAGATGGCGGGAGGAGGCGGACAGGAGGTGGGGGAGGTGGAGAGGAGATGGCGGGAGGAGGCGGACGGGAGGTGGCAGAGGCGGAGAGGAGATGGCGGGAGGAGATAACCGGAGACGGCGGACGGGAGGTGGCGGAGGTGGTGGAAAGGAGATGGCGGGGGGAGGCCGACGGAGGTGGGCGGAGACAGAGGGGAGGTGGTCCGAGGTGGGCGCAGGTGGGCGGAGGCCGAGCGGAGGTGGGCGGAGGCCGAACGGAGGTGGGCGGAGGCCGAGGTCACAGGCAATGGCGCAGGCCTCGATCGCTCTCTCTCTCTCTCACACACACACACACACACACACACACACAAACTCTGGGTGATGTGGTGAGTCCTTATCCATCAGTCAAATGCATCCTGGGCAGACTGTCGGGTTTCAACCTCCTGATGAGTCGGTGAAAGTCCGACGAAACAGTCTGTTCGGTTCAGTCATGCTTTTTTGAGCGTATAGCGAATATGACAACACACACACACACACACACACACACACACACACACACACACACAGGGGATAGGGAGGCGGAGGCGGAGAGGAGTTGGCGGGAGGAGATGGCGGGAGGAGGCAGACGGGAGGTG